ATAACAATGAAGGTAAAGGCTACCACTGGCATCAGTTATAACAATGAAGGTAAAGGCTACCACTGGCATCAGTTATAAAAATGAAGATAAAGGCTACCACTGGCATCAGTTATAATAGTGAAGGTAAAGGCTATCACTGGCATCAGTTATAGCAATGAAGAAGAATATAGTCATTTTAATGTCTTTCCTTATTATTCTTGGATGACGTCACTTGTAAAATTTAAGGGAATGCTTTGAAATGTAAAGGTCTTGAATCGGCTCTTGTGTTCTTCCTCTTTTCTTTGTTTTCATTTCGATTTTCAAAAATCTTGTATTATGTAAAATGCGTTGCTTCATGTGATTTGTACAGAATACTTCATTGATATCGACTTAAACGAATAGTTCACAATGTTGACAGTGCTAATATTGAAGTCTAACGTGTTGATACCGTTTACTTTCACTGTTAATGATGTTTTTATATTTGACAATTCATTAATGTTGTTTTTACGTAAATTTAATACAGTCGGACATATACAATACCAATGAATTTTGATGTCTTTAAACTTGAATTTATTAAGATTATTTCATATCTTCAATAGAATGCATTAGTTTTGAAATATGTGATACGAACGTTTTACTTTCTACACAAACAATGTTCATATTAAACGTGTCGCAACGTTTCAAGACCGACTGGTCCCTTTGTTAAGCTATACCAGTCTAGTTTGACAAAAATACCAGTCGGTCTTGAAAGATTGCGCCACGTTTAATACGTACATTGTTTGGGTATAGCTTGACAAAGGGACCAGTCGGTTTTGAAGCGTTGCGCAACATTTAATACGTACATTGGTCGTGCAGAAACTAAAACTTTGATATCAAGATTATGTTTTGTGCATCAATGCTGTCATCTTCGTCCACATTATTCGTACGATTTGCCTAAATACAGTTTAATTAGCATTACCTTCTCATTAAACACCGCCCTTGCTGCATTAATGAAAATTTCCTTGTGATCTTCTTTTGCTATTTTACTCCTAATAACTTTCTAATTAGCATTTTCTGAAAATAAAACGAAATGTCCCTGTTAGTTATGCATGTGCTCTGGTTTTATCTAAATATCTTATATAGTGAAATAGTCCGCATTATCATAGAAATTAACATATTCATACCTTTGATTGCATAAGCAAATACAATTCTTGCACGACCTTGATACAAAGTTCACAATGTTCGTAATAAACACTGACAACTTAAAAAAACGACAGTGTAATTCAGGTTAGTGGGGTTAAGACAGTACACCTGCGAGGGCTGTGATACATTTGAAGTGTCAGTGGGAAGCGTATAAATGAGTTCAGACCATGTAACTGTTCACATCCATCTGTGTTGTCCAGACCCAGGTGTCCGTATCGTATATGTACAGTCCGCTTCACTCTAACGCATGTCATAGTGCCATCTACAATTTGCTTCTTAAAAATTGAAATTTGAAACGATGCCTTTTATTTAGGTACAAGAATTTGTGATTAGAAAAACAAACAGATTCTACTTCAGTGTTGCAAGAATATTTTTTATTCACTCATTTATAATCTGTTGTATTTACCTTATATGTTATATTTTTGTTTTGTAAATCTAACGAAGGTGTGGACCCTGGATCCAGGTAGCTGTCAACATGTACGCCATTAATTATGAACTTAATATATCCCCCTGTTTATGTGCTGCTAGGTTGGTAGCAGAAATAAATAAGTTTTAAACAACTTGGGTGCAATATCCGTCTGACCAAATAAACTAAAAGCTAGAAAAGGTAGTGTTCGAGCGTGCATGGTACGAAAGCATACCAGGGCATTAATCTGTGAGTAAATGTGAAATAGTTTTAAGTCCAGGATATATATGTTGTGTAAATGTTTGCTTTCTGAACCAGCATATCCGTTATTATTGTAATAAACATTTGTGTCATTTAAGGAATGAGCCAAAAACATGTCGAAAAGTTTACTAAAACCATAAATCAGGATTTTTGTTTTTACTTTTTTAAATTATCATTTATAGGATCGCATGGTTAATAGACAGTTTTAAAGGGAAAAAATATATAACAGAACGGTATAAACGGACATGTAAACTTGAAGTATATAAACAAATGAAATAATTAGTCTTAGGATTATTGAATTCATCAGAATATTTCCTATATAATGTTACACAAAATATTAGGAATATCAGTCAAGTGTTAAGGCGTACGTGTTTTGGAGCAATATTCTACAACTTAACACTTGGAACAATGTTCATACAGTTATATTAGGCGTCTCGTAGATGCATGTTCAACAATATATACTAGACACCCGATCCGTACATGAGTAAACAGAACTGTCTGGTGCCAACATTGATCACTCTATCTTTGGGCATATCGGCGAATTGTTATTTGGAAAATTAGCAAGGTTTAAGGACTTCATAAATCCTTTAGGAAACAGCTTGCAATTTCTCTGATACCATTTTTTCGGAGAGTGTTTAACAGAATCAGCAGGATATAGTTGTTCGGGTTCTCTGGTATCTCTCGCATTTGACCAATCAAAAGTTTGAGATGTCCTTACAGTTATATCCCCACCTGTGATGCCTAAATTGTCAACTGGAAAACGAGCACTATATATGGGTTTTGGACGCAGATTTTTCATTGATGTCCACTCTATTTTCCTAGTCGGTAGCCTCCTCTGCTTCCATTCGTACAAAGGGCAATAATTCGAGGTTTAAAATAAAATGTGCGTCACGGTACCTTACATTGAGCTCAGATCATCTAGTTAGGCTGAAAACAAAACTGTAAACAAAACTTTGAATAAAGTCATATGCTATGGGAAAATATGCTGCCATGGAGCACCCATCACAACATGTCTCCCCGGTCTTGAGGTTCAAATCAAATTCTGGAAAAAACATATGTATTAGCTAGTGTGATTACTTTCCCAATTTTACTTATATTTAATCTATTTAACTTGTTTGTATTAAGTTTGACGTTGTGAATGTTTGCTATTCTAGTGTAGGATCTTGTTAGTAAATGAGTGGTTAATACTGTATGTCGGTCACACAATGAGAACAAAGGCATACCGAAGTGTCAACAAAACCACAGTTCGAACTCAAAATCGATAAAACTGGGGTAAAATATGAACAATGGAACGTTTTTCATGGAGACCATTGAAAAAGTACAATCAAGTAATGTTTCAACGATGACACCTATCATGTAAATCTAAGTCAAATCAAAGTAACGTCGCGTCCTCACATCGATAACTCGAGCAAGGACAACAAAACCACAAGACAATATAATAAGCATAATAAAAAGCTCGACCTTGAACATCGAAACAGCATATTTCCCTGCGAGATCCTGATGGCGACAATAAAACTTGTCCATAGTAATCATCAACCTTCATCTTTGGTAAGACTCTTTCACGCGACAACTGGACGGAATGACATTGCTTTTATCTTATACGTAATATATGCTTGTATTAGAAGCAAACATACGTAGCAAATATGCTGAGCGTCTCCATGTACAAAACGGGAGATAACACGTGGCGAAGAATATGAACATAGGTACTATAGCCAGTCGACCCGACAACAAAAGTATGCTATTGTATTGTATAACACATGTGCTGAACGGTTCGAAATTTGATCGGTTGGGATAGATTCTGAACAATAACGTACGAAGAGATATATAATGGGGATGGAGTAGCCATGATTTCGTGTAAATTGTCGCCTGTGCGGACCAAAATACCATTAAATTGATCACAGCGATGTTTTAATTCACCTTGTCTCGCCACTTAAACATCTGTTATTTGTCATTGGATTTTGGACAACTCTTTTAATAGATCAAACGCTTGTGCACAAAGATTAAATCCAGAGTTGCAGAAAATAGAGAGACAAACAGAAACAAATACAGAAACGGAAATATATGACTGTCTTGAAAGATGAATTTTTAAAATTATGTTAAGATAATAACAAACATGATTTAAAGGGACACAGTGATTTATCATGGTGACAAATGCAGTGATACCTTCTTTTTAATGTCATTGATATATATGGATGACTCTGAATTTAATCTGTGTACATACGTTTAATCCATAAATATATATTTATCACATAATGTACTGTGTTATCCAGTGAATATACACATGTCATATTTTGGCGTATCAACCCATGTAATATGACATATCAGCCCTATGATTGGTTGTAAGTTTCAATTGTGACGTCACGTCACGTCCCTGGAGTCAAAATGGCGGCTTTTTACATTTAAAGGTTGCATGAAAGTTGTCGTTTTACATGAAAAAATGCCACAAATTTGAATTATGTGATAAAAAGGATCGTACACTCGTTTTCAGTTCATATCAAATTTATGAAACTCGTCACGAATTTTTCATTTTAGCTCACCAGTTGCTCGTAAATTTGAATTTGTTTAGACTCGTTTCATAAATCTCATATGAAAAGGTTACTCGTGTAAGATCCTATAAATATATATATCCACTAAGAACCATTACTTTAATGCGTCAACATCCGTCTCCACTGTTCCTGTGTGTGCCATATGTTGACGATGTGGTACATTATTATCTATGTAAGTCTTGCATGTATCCCTTAAGGAAAAGATAAAGAGATATGCATTGTCCCTCTTTGCCAATGGTTATTTGCTTCCTGGTATATATGATCATCCACTTTTTGCTTTTTGCAACATTAAGATACCACGGGTCAACATTTCAAGAATTTTGAACATTTCAATATGTTTTGAAAAATAACATAAGTCGAGTTATTGCGATATTTGACTCTAAGTATGACTTGAACACAGACAAACGTCATCTTAACCTGAAAAAAACCCTTGAAATTAATCTGAATTCGACCTGAGAAAAATACCACGAAAGTAATACACATAGTTTAAACTGTAAGTTTACACTGTAAAGAGAGACAGCGCCATCATTGGCATAAATTTGACTAAAAAACTGACATGAAGAATTTTTCAGGTCTATTTCAGGGAAATTTTAATAGAAATTTACTTTTTTATCTTTCAGGTTTAGTTGTCTAACAACATGAATTTGACATAATTGTACATGAAGATATTTCGCCAGTATTGAATACAGAGTAAAGTAAGACATTTAAACCAAACAGCTTCCTTTATTCAAATCTAACACCAATGTTAACAGTAATTACATCGCAAGTAAACGTGTCTATGCATACTCTCTAAAAACATCTTCATGAACTAGGAATCCCCGTTAACTAGCTAACGAGCGTCCTTTCTAAGTACATCTGAATGTACCACGGTGACCAAATCCCCATGTCGTAGGTCCAGAACACTTCATCCTCGATAAAGAGCCGCTCCTCGGTGGCAGTCTGTATCAGTAGTCCGTTTGGATTACTCTGGCCACACTTCGTGCCTGCGGTGAACCAGAAACCACAGTTCCGTTCAACACCACAATGAAGAGCCATCCCGTCTAGATCCCGATCCAAGGTCGTGAAGTTTGATCCGTTTACATATATCAGAGAGTCTCCAGCATCAGGATAAATGTAGGTACTTGATGACTGAAATGTCATGATAAAATAGTTTACTTCATCCTCCACTCTAAAACCGTAGTACGCCCTCTGTTTGATGGTACTCCACTGAGGTCCCGCCAGTTCTACAATGAGGTTGTAGTCGGTATGTGATCTGGTGATGTAGCTTTGGTAAATATTACCAAGCCACATATTAGTGTCATTGAAAGTAAATCCTTCTGCATATTCCGCCCAGGTCTTGTCGAAGACGGTCTGTTTTGAGAAATGTCTCTGTAAGTACAGACGTGGCATTGGGTAAGAACTCGATAGACTACAGAACACGGTGATCGGTGACGGAGATAAAGAAGGCTGTATCTGGAAATATCCTTCTTGATCAACATAATAAGGGTATTGGCCCATTTCCGCACAATCTGTGGGATATAAAAACATATTTTTTATTTGTTGTATTTTCTATTGAGCATTTGTAATTTCGATTTTTTAATTGGAAAGATGTTGTCTCTATATAATGAGTATGTGCAATCTATATTTCATATGAAACATGCGAAACACAATTAAAAGTTTGCGAGCTTGAATGCATGCATAAACTTATTATATCATTAGCGATTATACATGATTTACATATCCCTTTACATACTTTACCTGTAGCAAGACGTGCACACGTCAGTCTAACACCCCTTATGCATACTTTACCTGTAGTCAGACATTCACACGTCAGTCTGACATACCCCCATACAGACTTTACCTGTAGCCAGACGTTCACACGTTAGTCCAACATACCCCCATACAGACTTTACCTGTAGTCAGACGTTCACAGGTCAGTCTGACAAACCTCCATACAGACTTTACCTGTAGCCAGACGTTCACACGTTAGTCCAACATACCCCCATACAGACTTTACCTGTATCAAGACGTGCACACGTCAGTCTAACACCCCTATGCATACTTTACCTGTAGTCAGACGATCACACGTCATTCTGACATACCCCAAAGTATACTTTACCTGTAGTCAGACGTTCACACGACAGTCTGACGTACCCCCATACAGACTTTACATGTAGCAAGACGTTCACGCGTCAGTCCAGCATACCCCCATACATACTTTACCTGTAGCCAGACGTTCACACGTCAGTCTGACATACCCCCATACAGACTTTACATGTAGCAAGACGTCCACACATCAGTCTGACATACCCCTATACAGACTTTACATGTAGTCAGATGTTACCACATCAGTCTGACATAACCCTATACGGACTTTACTTGTAGTCAGATGTTAACACGTCAGTCTGACATACCCCCATACAGACTTTACATGTAGCAAGACGTCCACACATCAGTCTGACATACCCCTATACAGACTTTACATGTAGTCAGATGTAACCACATCAGTCTGACATAACCCTATACGGACTTTACTTGTAGTCAGTGTTAACACGTCAGTCTGACATACCCCCATACAAACTTTACCTGTTATCAGACGTTCACACGTCAGTCTGACATACCCCCATACAGACTTTACCTGTAGCCAGATGTCACACCGCAGTCTGACATACCCCCATACAAACTTTACCTGTTATCAGACGTTCACACATGAGTCTGACATACCCCCATACAGATTTTACCTGTAGCCAGACATTCACACATCATTCTGACATACCCCCATACAGACTTTACCTGTAGCAAGACGTTCACACATCAGTCTGACATACCCCCATACAGACTTTACCTGTAGTCAGACGTTCACACGTCAGTCTGACATACCCCCATACAGTCTTTACCTGTAGTCAGACGTTCACACATCAGTCTGACATACCCCCATACATACTTTACCTGTAGCCAGACGTTCACAACTCAGTCTGACATACCCCCATACATAGTTTATATGTTATCAGACGTTCACACGTCAGTCTCACATACCCCAATACAGACTTTACCTGTTATCAGACGTTCACACGTCAGTCTGACATCCCCCCATACAGACTTTACCTGTAGCAAGACGTTCACACGTCAGTCTGACATACCCCCATACTTACTTTACCTGTAGTCAGACGTTCACACGTCAGTCTGGCACCCCTATACAGACTTTACCTGTTGTCAGACGTTCACACTTCAGTCTGACACCCTTATACAGACTTTACCTGTTACCAGACGTTCACACGTCTGTCCAGCATACCCTCGTTCACACGTCTGCTTGACATACCCCTATACAGTTTCTACCTGTTATCAGACGTTCACACATCTGCCTGACATACCCCCATATAGATTGTACCTGTAACCAGGCGTTCACACATCAGTCTAACATACCCCCATACAGACTTTACCTGTAGACAGACGTTCACACGTCAGTCTGACATACCCCATACAGATTTACCTGTAACCAGACGTTCACACGTCAGTCTGACATACCCGCTAACATACTTTACCTGTAGCCAGACGTTCACATGTCTGTCCGACGTAACCTCCTAGACACAGACACGTGCCGTTGTCTAACGTCCCGCTGTTCATACAAGTCAGTGTGTTTGTCATCTGGAATTATGGAAATGACATTGCACAAGTATTATGAATCATCGAAAATAATCTCTCATAAAATAAAAAAAAACCTTTATTTTTTGGGGGAAGGGACTTGTAAAGCGAAAATGATGATGTCCCCTCGATTTCCGATGATTCTGTTTTTTTACTTTTAGTTCTTGTATAGATCATTGTTATTGATGCTTTTAAAAGTGCTGGTGTTTTCATGGTTTATTTTTCAAAACAAATTGCATTAAATTGTCATATCTTTGAAATACTAAATCATCACTGGACAAAACAACAAGTAAAAACCGAGTTGTTAACAACACCGTAATTTGAACTCGAAATCGATAAAATTAGAGCAACATATGTACAAAAGAATGATAAAGGAGAAAAAGACCTGGTGTACCGGAAGGGTGAGCGTCATCTTCTTTATCGTCCACACCCATCATGTACATTAATTTAGATAAAATCTAACTAATTACTCTTCGACAAAGTAGAAAACTGAGAACAATTACAACGAAAAAGCATTGCACACTAATGAGCATAACGAAAATGTTCCATAAACCTCAACAAAAAGTACCGCATATCCAACACACTGATTAATTACAAAACTGAAGACTACGTGAAGAAGATAGAGCAATGCCAACGTACCACATCATTAACACAAAAGTACAAGTACATGTGTGATAACTAGAAATACGAAGAGAAAACGATATAAAGTTTTAACTCAAAATCATCACAAAAGAAATAAATAATCTGCAACGCACAAAGTAATGACAATAAGTATACGTACGAAGAAAGACGATAAAAACACAAACAGCAATACAGAAACTCGTCAACACACAAAGAAATCACTTCAAATACGAAGTCAAGAAAAATCCGAACTCAAAAGCTTTGCGCGAAGTACCACATTGTCTGCCTGATTATTGAGTAAAATATTGATAAAACTTACGCATGTATGGTCACAAGAGTTTAAATATTTGATGTGGACAAGCGATAATAAAATAAGTTAGACTAAAAGAACGTTTTATAACATTTTTCTTCCATGACAAAATGATATTTTATATACACTAATAGCCAATGTCAATGTTTTTACAAAACCAAAATAATTTTCAAGAAAAAAGTTTGTTATACCGACATTAGATAAGTTTGAATTTATTTGCAGTTAAGTAGGGCTAGATATGTAACAAGGTCTTATAATGATAGCGCGACTTACTTTTCTGTTTGTCCACAACAACCCTATCTTTTATATATATCGACATCGGGACAACAGACTATTAAAACCATTTGAAAGAATACAATGTAAAGCAGACCTTTAAGATCAGTATTACATTGTGTACGTACCTTCACGTATGTATGCACATTGTACTAGAACTGGTCTCGTTAGTTTGGCTTGATCGAAAGTTCATGTTTTTTGTTGTTGCCAAAACATTTTCACGAAATTTAAGCCAATACAAATCAAAAGTTCTGTTAAAGTCTATGCCAGATTTTGGTTCATTGGTTCATTGCAGGTGACACCGTTGTAAGCGTCAATTCGCTTCTTGAGGTGCCTCTTTATATTATCCACTTCACTTCCGGTTGCATTTGGAGGCATTTGAAGAGGACTTTATTTCTCAAAAATTAGTGAAAATTATGTACATGTGCAGTGGATGGTAACAAACAACGAATTCTCAGAGTTTATATATCGCGTATTTTATAAATTTGTAGACAAAACGAAAATGTAACATCTGCAATAACTAGTATTTGTTGTCTTATAATAAGTATAATAAAAAGTGGAAAAGAAATAAACCGCATAAACGCAAAAAACGGTACCTTTTCTAGAATCTCTGATCCATACAAGGATTGACTTGGTTCGCAGGCAGACGAGAGAGTGATGTTACTGTGACTACACGTTTGATCCGATTCTATTTCAGCCACACTGAGACAGTTGGGATCATCCATACAAGCTAATAAGCACTCATGAAGATCGTGGTCAGGTAGAAACGCAGTGACATCACTGGAGTCGAAACCGGTATGTAAACAGTCTTTCCTAACTATAAACGTTGCCTGTCGAAATTCCGCTCCAATTACCGGTAAAACGAACAGCTTCAGAAACCAAAAGAAATGTATATCCTTCATAGCGAGAGGTTATCTGTGTATCCGGCCCTGTTATTAAATACTGATAATTTAGACATGCAGCCCCTTGTCATATATTGCTTTCTTATCATCGATCGGTTCTATACATGTTTAAAGTAAGTATTATGATATTAAACAAATCGATTGGCTGTTATTTGCTTTTCGCATTGGCTGCCTTAGAAGAATCAATTTCGAGATGAACGTCCGGCTATGTCAATACCTAACTCATCGAACGAATTCAGCGTTAATAGACTGGTCCAATTTAGCATTCATTCCACATGCGTGATTTGTACGAACATCATAGTAAAATGAAAATTCCACTTGATATTCTTTAACTATGTACAATATGACCTGACTATTTGCACCCCGTATTGTTCAGCTGGTTTTCTATTTTTTATGATTACCTTACTGTATTACACTGGAACTCCTGTTTACTCATTAACCAGACTTGATAGATTCCTGTAGACTTTGTTTAAATAAATATCCATCTAAATGTTAATTAGTTAGAAAAGCTGTTAGCAAAGAATATATAGAGATTATATATTTTTCATAATTGAAGTTAAATGTACTAGAAATATGTGCTGTATTAGGAAAATAGGTTAGATGGAAAACAAATAAATGCTAGCAAAGAACACATACTGGGTACTTGTATTTGGTAATTGTAATAGTTATCAAGATGTCACAGCAGTAGACACACCCAAAACTGGAGATAGACATAACAGGTTTTTTTTTTTCATTTAACATCCTCCAAAGATAACAGAGATTTGGTGCAAACATTGTTATAGAAACATCAACCGAAGGACTGCTGGACAAGTTCTGCCATTGTACAATGTAAAAGAAAGCATAAATATGCAGGAACTAAATCGGAATATAAAGTATAGATTAAAAGATAAAATAACTTAAGACTTTCCAAAATGTGTGTTTTCGATGAATCTATAAGATCAGGTATAGGAAAAGAACACATTTCTCTGAAATAAATATGCTGAAGTTAGAATAAAGTAACTTAGCTTGACAGAGATGTACATTGTGTACCACGTCTTGTCCGTCTTAACTGTAGTTAAGGGGTTGTCAACAATCCTAGCCCTAACCCATGACAGTGAACGAAATGGAATTGGTCGTCACGTGCGCAGTGGATAGCGCACTCGCCTTGGACGATCGGTGTCCTTTTCCATGATCGGACGTGACAAGGTACTTGGTAACCTGCCCGACCACGTGGGTTTTATCTGGACATACATTTAGACCTCCCGTGTTTTAACATTCCGGGCAAGCAAGAGTGATTAAGAAACGTTGTTGTAAAATAAAGGATTTTTATATATTTAAATTGATTAGTGGGAGCCTTATAAATTAAGACACTCTTTGTGATTTCTCAGATCAAATGTAATCAAATAAGGCACAACGAATAGCTCTTTGATAATGGTAGACACTAATAATAGAGAATTAATAATACTTTCATATGCAGGGACACATGGAAATTTGTGTTTATTGGCCAGCGGATTTTAAAGCGTTTAGCCCTTTCACTGTACTTTTTTTTTTATTTCTGCATATTTCAGAAATTCTAAACATGGATGTTCATACTCTTTACCTTTAGTACCCCTCTTGAGTCCAAAACAATCGAAGTAGCCATAAGGTGTAATATAATGTTTAGTTCGCATGAATTTCTAAATCCACACACTGACTATTTACAATATTTGTTTCCTCACTTCGTATTCTTAGTGATTATTATATTCATCTTTGTATGTTTTCTTTTATGCCAAACAATCGGTATTATTCCTACTGCTTATTAACAATGAAAAGGTACTGCGACGTTACTAAGGTCAAACCGATAGGTCACGGCACGTCATCGTGTTTACCTTCAAGTCGACAAAACATTTACTTTCAGAAACGGGCACCTGCTGTAATTCCCACCGTGTTAGCAAAGAAATAGATATTGCCAATTCCTCAATACTCATTGTAAAACACCCGACGCCAATGGTCAATAATAATATCGATTAGATGTTGGTGGTTTGATAGTTTTGATATTGAAAATTAAATAGTTTTATTAACATCGGCATAAGTTAATAGACGTTAAATGCCGAGAAAGTCAATATTCTGGCGCCCTTACTAAATAATGTTCACCTACATGAACGCTTTCAAAACATTTCTAATAAATAGAAGTTTTGATATTGAAAATTAAATAGTTTTATTAACATCGGCATAAATTAATAGACGTTAAATGCCGAGAAAGGCAATATTCTGGCGCCCTTACTAAATAATGTTCACCTACATGAACGCTTTCAAAACATTTCTAATAAATAGAACACATTGTTTACATTTGAACTATGTTATGTCTAACGTCCAAACCTAAATGTACGGTTCAATAATTATCAGAACTAAACGAAACCGAGAGTTCTCTGGTAATAAAAATAATAACTGTGGAGGCATTTCTTGGCTTAAAGACTCTCCGAACATCTGCATTAAACCTGTAACCAAGTGTTAGAAACTGCTTTTTCCGGCATGACTAGAGCTTTGATGAATTATTTCCGAAAAGAAAACCATCTCTTGCGGGACTTTTATGAGAAATAAAAGATATAAAATAAACCAAATACAATCAACAGCAGTGTTTTGAGAGTAAACAAGAGTCTCAGAGGGCCTGTATCGCCTGGATATTTAAGCAGTCATAGCAAAAATCATGTTGGGCCTAATATACATGTATATCAAATTAGATTAAGATAAAGCTTGAGGTAATTTTCAATAGCAAACTTTTTCGGGCTCCATCTGTGACAGTTCGCAAATATTATCGGGTTCAATCCCAAAAAGCAACCAGCCAAATAATAGGATTATATGCATTTACATTATACAGAAGAAGACATTTGATAAGTTCGACCTATTTGACCCATGTGACCTTGAAAGTGGATCAAGGTAATTTTCATTTGCAAGCTCAAACCTATGATGGCATATTTCTGCCATCCACTTGCGACTTACGAGTTACGTATGTCGACATAATTATTGAAAGATGTCGAGATAATTTTGCCGAGATAATTATCTCGTAAGTGGGTAACTCGGCTTTTTATCGTGTTAATGCTCGGGTGTGACATTGACTTACGACTTGCCATTTACGACTTATTTATGTAAAATCCCTCTTTGATTGATAAACTCTGTACATCATAGTAACCTACTGTAATATCCATATCTTTGATTTCCCATATTTACATTGATTTTACCAAGTTACTCACCAGTATAGTCACCACTGTTCAGTCACCATCAGCCCACCTTCGCGGTCCTCGTGCACAAGCCTCGTTTTGGTAAGTCGGCAATAATCTACTAGGATGTCGACATAAATAAGTCGTAAGTGGCAAGTCGTAAGTGGCAAGTCGATGTCACACCCGAGCATTAACACGATAAAAAGCCGAGTTACCCACTTACGAGATAATTATCTCGGCAAAATTATCTCGGCAAATGTGATAATATGTCGACATAATTTAACAGTTATGTCGACATCTTCTCAGATTATGTCGACATATTCTCAGATTATGTCGACATCTTTCAATAATTATGTCGACATACGTAACTCGTAAGTCGCAAGTGGATGGCAGAAATATGCCACCATACAAACCCTAGACGCTACCTGAAAAATATTAAGATTCTTCAGAAAAGTCGTTTTAAGTATGACATATTTCACCTCTGTGACCTTGACAGAATGCCAAGGTCATTTCATTTTCAAACTTTGTCAGGCTCTATCCCAAGAAACCACAAACCAAATATGAAGAGTATGTACCTTTCAGTTCTTCTTCAGAAGTCTTTGTCATATTTGACGCCTGTGACATGGAAAGTATGTCAAGGTCATTCATAAACTTTGTTTGGCTCTATCCAAAAAAGCTTCCAGCCAAATACTAAGATTCTTTACGTTTCAGTTCTTCAGAAGTAGTTTTAAGTATTTGACATATTTGACCCCTGTGACCTTGATAGAACGTCAAGGTTATTTTTATTCTCAAACTTTGTCGGGCTCTATCCAAAAACAAGAGGCCCATGGGCCTTAACGGTCACCTGAGTCTACAGNTTCCCCATACTAGGATTATGAACCTATAGGTTCTTCAGAAGAAGTAGTTTTAAGTATATGACACTTTTGACCCCTGTGACCTTGAAAGAAGGCCAAGATCATTTTCGTTCACAAACATATTTGGGCTCTTACCAGCAATGCTACCAGCCACATATTAAGATTCTATACCTTTCAGTTCTTCAGTAGAAGTCGTTTTAAGTATCTGACACTTTTGACCCCCGTGACCTTGATAGTAGGTCAATGTCATTTTCGTTCTCAAACTTTGTTGGGCTTTTAACAACGAAGCTATCGCTAAAATATCATGACTCTAGGCCTGTCCATTCTTCAGGAGAAGTCGTTTAAAGGAAAATTGACGGAAGACGCCGGACAGACGCCGATGGACGGGCAGAGGACGCCGCACCATAGCATAAGCTCACTAGCCCTTCGGGCAGGTGAGCTAAAAATAAGTGGTGCTATCAAATAGCTGAATCCTGGACTTCAGATTCTTATAATTATTAATATTGCTCTAACCATTTGAGCTACATGTATCTGGCCAAACGAGTCTATTTTACGTACTTGCCTAAAAGTTGTCTACCAATACTATCTTTCAACATCAGGAATTCCCCCCCAAAAAAATACAATCTGTAAATTTGTCGTATAACAAATTTGATCTAAAAAAAGAAAGAAAAAAAACCTTTCTTTTAATTGTGTTTCATCAGAACAAAAAAATCCTTGGGTATTGATATTTGGCAAGTAGGTTGTTCATGTGAATGGATATAATTTTGGTAATCATTGGGTGACCATGACCTTTGTTCAAGGTCACAAGAATAAAATGTGCTAAAATATCATTATTGTATTGGGAGTCATACAAGGATATCTTTCCTTGCTTTACTTGTTTAGAGTTAAAGATATAAAAGAATGTAATATCGGCAAAAGACCAAATGAAATAAATAATCAAGTGTATATAAGCTTTATTATTAAAATTATTTTATTGTTTTTTTTATGTATCTGCATATCTTTGTCAGTTGCTATTGTGACTTTACTAACATAATCTTTTTGACAAATTTTGTTACTGAATCATACTTTAATCCATGTTTGAGGTGTCAATAATACTATAGATATCATTCATTATGACGGACATCTTTACACTGTAGCAAAAATGTCAAAGAGTAGCATAGAGGTTCATAATATGTTCATCCTTTTTTTGTGTGAAAAAACCAACACATTTTGAATGGTACATGTTTTAAGACAGACGCTTCAGGTGGAGAGCAAACGTTTCCTTACATGGACATGATTCCATACAAATGATAATCTAATCACAAGTAATGTGTCTGATTCACATGCACAACTATGTATAATGATAGTTAACCCTACCACATTACAAACAAAATGTGTTGAAACTAAAAGGACATGTCGATGCCGACCAAACTTTATAATGCTGCCATTCTATTGATGAACACTTTGACTGATGATGAGATGAGTAAGTCTCCTACAATGTACTGCAAACCATTTATAATGTGGAAAACTGTGGCGAGTTCCAAGGAAGTAAAATACTAAGTGAGGGCAATTACACTGTTATACACTGCTGAGCATGTTTCTTGTACTTTGATAATAATCAAGCTTTCAGTCGGGTACTCCATGACCAGGAATTTTTGTCACCTTGGTTCACTGATATATAAACTTAACTATTGTTACAGTCAAACAGAAAATAATGAATAAAATGCACAGCAAAGACTTGATTTCAACGAAGGCTTTAACATTTTATTCAACTGAATTTATCCTAAACATGCAAAGCAAATAGCAGGAAAAATCAAGGGAGATAACTCCTGCACCATTATAGGACATTTTAATCAGGTTCTTCTTCAATTCAGTCATAGAATTTTTGGGACAGTTTAATTTTCACTATAACGAAATATGAATCCCACAAATTAGTCACCCTTTAAATAGAGGGTCAGTAGTTAGCACTATTGACTATTAAGAATGCTGTGCAAAATCTTCTCTTTACCATTCAGTTCCAGTCACAAAATTACAAAACAATGACCTCACAGAATGAAACTGCTTTTCTGGATTTGGATACAGAGGATTCTGTGTCATCACATAACTATAGACGTTTTTATATGTAATTCAGGTTGATGTTAAATTGCATGTACAGGCTTCGCAGACCTGTTCCTTATAACACAGTCTCCTCCGACACATCCAAACATGGCTGTGTGATCCGACATTAAAACCATGATAAGAAACGTACAACATACTTGTCCTCCTCACAACAACACAACATTCACACGAAGCTGATGATGTATTTGGTGTGTGATAACTTATCTGGCATGCTTTTCTGGTTTCCAGCTTGAATAGCACAACAACAAACCCTGAATCCTTAGGAACTCACATGTTCACTATGTTTGGGGAGTGGTCAGGATGAGCTAAGTTGCTGTCTCAGAGCAGTATTTTCTTTTTGTAGTAGTGCGATCTGTGCCGTGTTTTGTTCGAGGCGATTTTCCAAAGATTGTATCAAAGGAGCATTCATTACTTCCATGATGTGACACAGGGACTTGGTGTAAACTGAAAGAAAAAGGTGAAATATTGTTTTAATCACATGTTTTCTTATGCAACAAAAAGACCTGGGATTCAAGGGTAATCAACAGTCAAACTGATCGTATGACCTCACCTGGTTTTTCATTTCGATTTTTAAGTCAACAAAGTACAGCAGTGATAACAGGATTTTAAATCAATTGGCACCTTCCTACTTCAAAAGAACTAGACCTTATACTTAAACAATTAGGTCCATGGATATTAACGGTCATCTGCTTGTAAGAAAGACAATTAAGACAAAAATATTAATTATAATCTTTCTCTCCAAGAAGATAATTTAATTCCAGTAAATCTGAACCTGGAGAGGAAGACTTTTGAAATATTGGTCAATTTTCTCATGATGGCCTCTCTTTGGCCTCTAAGTATCGGGCAACCAATGTTACAATTTAAATGGCAAAGCATGATTGATTTGTAATTGACTTAATTAAGAAATACTGTACAAAGAAAGAATAAAGAAATACTGCATAAGGATCAGTAACCATGCCTACCTGATGAGTTGTGTATGGTTGTGATAAGGTCAAGGTCATTGGAGGTGACCTTGCTATATGCCTCCGTCTCCTCCTGTGACAGGATTTTAGGGAGCTCTACAAGGGAATCGAGACAGGCTCTGCCAAGACCTGCACTAGGTACAATATGGAGAGGCACCTCTATAGGAGTATACCTGAAATGATTTTATATTTTGATCAAATATTTTTACCATATATATATATTTATTTCAACTACATATATTTATGAAATGTCCCTGCTCCCACTTTGACTGGAATAGAGCTAAATGTGATCTTTAATCAAAGTCAGTGAACCAGAAAATATAGGTGACAGTAGCCTACATTGTTCTTGTTTATGATGAAGCAGTACTCCAAAAGAAGTATCTAAATATAAAGTTTGCTGAATGTGGGACTTGCAATATCAGAGAATCTGTGGGACTTGTAGTATCAGAGAATCTGTGGGACTTGTAGTATCAGAGAATCTGTGGGACTTGTAGTATCAGAGAATCTGTGGGACTTGTAGTATCAGAGAATCTGTGGGACTTGTAGTATCAGAGAATCTGTGGGACTTGTAGTATCAGAGAATCTGTGGGACTTGTAGTATCAGAGAATCTGTGGGACTTGTAGTATCAGAGAATCTGTGGGACTTGTAGTATCAGAGAATCTGTGGGACTTGTAGTATCAGAGAATCTGTGGGACTTGTAGTATCAGAGAATCTGTGGGACTTGTAGTATCAGAGAATCTGTGGGACTTGTAGTATCAGAGAATCTGTGGGACTTGTAGTATCAGAGAATCTGTGGGACTTGTAGTATCAGAGAATCTGTGGGACTTGTAGTATCAGAGAATCTGTGGGACTTGTAGTATCAGAGAATCTGTGGGACTTGTAGTATCAGAGAATCTGTGGGACTTGTAGTATCAGAGAATCTGTGGGACTTGTAGTATCAGAGAATCTGTGGGACTTGTAGTATCAGAGAATCTGTGGGACTTGTAGTATCAGAGAATCTGTGGGACTTGTAGTATCAGAGAATCTGTGGGACTTGTAGTATCAGAGAATCTGTGGGACTTGTAGTATCAGAGAATCTGTGGGACTTGTAGTATCAGAGAATCTGTGGGACTTGTAGTATCAGAGAATCTGTGGGACTTGTAGTATCAGAGAAATAGAGATACATCTTAAGTCCAAGCAAGATGCTGTACTAACATAATCGACAAACACCAGCGGCTTAAAAAACTGTCATGAAAATTACAACACTTGTCAATTTAGCATTTGAATTTAACCTATCCAACCTTTCATTAATACTGTAACAGTTGTCACCCCTGAAACGTGTGGTATAGTTCTGATGGTTAAGCCAGGTAATCAATCTTTACACTACATTATCAGCACCTTATTAACCATATGTGATGTCTGCCTAGCTGTATACAGGTGGTCATGTTTTAATATGAGAAAATAGAGCGACAGATCATTGGATACATACTGTGGGGGGAAACTTTCTAACGTTTGGGACTGAAAACAGGTTACTTGGATACGATTTTGCTGAAATAGACAAACATGAAAATAATATTAATGGAACGCAAAATGGAGAGAAGCAAACAGTTAGATGATTTTTTTAGAAAGCATTTGCATGTTTATGTATATTCACCAGGTTTGTTCTGAGGGAAGAAAAAAAAAACTCATTTTTTTTTTAAAGTATATTTTCAGTTAGCTTGATCAGTCAGTCTGGAAACTTTTAATACATACATTGTTTGTGTATGAGGTAAAACTTTGATATTTTTAGAAATTTGTTTTTAAATACTTAAGAATTATCAAGATCTTGAACAGGATTCGAAAATATTCATGAGGCTATACTCTACAACTTTTATGAATTTCTTTAGATTGTCATTTTCCTATACAAGTTACCTTTGTGGTTTTGTCTTGGTTAAACACTGAGAATATGAGACCTATGAATCCTTCGTCCATCATTTGATACATCGCTTGTGTCCGCACATCTACAGATATAAAACATCACATTCAGCAAAACCAGAGCTTATGCATATTAGGGTAATATAACTAGTGTTAATATAATGCCCTGTGGACTTCACATGGGACACTAGAGGCTTTCTACTTACCTACATGTGAAGATGTACATGCAAAGTGTTATATTTGGGTGATATTACATATGTACTTGTGTTGACACCCTGTAGACCCCTACAAGGGATGCTTAAGACTTCATATTTACCTACATATATGTACATACGTGTCTAGTGTGATAGTTAGGTAGTATTGCTAGTAATGATGGTCTGTAGCAACTCAAAAGGGAGGATTTGCACTTACCAACATGTGAAATACATATGTGTGTAGTGTTGTAGTTGGGTAATATTACTTCTGCCGGCCAAGGCCTGTACACCTCATAAGTGATGCAAAAGACTTCATACTTACCTACATGAGAAGGCCAGACAGTTATATGTGGGTGAGAATGATACCAGCCTAGAACGCGTAAGGGGCGCTGGAGTTCTTTAGCTAAGTCCTGAAAATAAAAAATATAAATAAAAATCCTGTGAAATATTTGTCACATTTGAAATTCATTCTGCTTTTCCTTGATATAATATTATACTGACCATATCATTAACATCAACATGTTTTTCAAGTGTAAACTGTATTATTATATTTAAGATTGTTTTCATATTTATTTTCATAAAATTGACAAACTGGTGGACACAATGTGCATGTGACTTACAATAATCATCACAAATTATTAGACAATCAATTCAAGCATGATAAAATATAGCCATGTGCAACACCTTCATACTAAGTAATTTATTTACTGATAAAAAAGGCCTACCTCTCCTTTGGTAGTTTTTGAAAGCCTTTTTTGATTTCAAAACTAACCCCCCCCCCCCCCAAAAAAAAATATAATTATATATACCAGAACAAATATTTCCAACTTTAGTAAAGCTTGCACTGAGATTCAATAAGAATTACTTCTTTGGAAAATACCTATCTGCAACATTTTTAGATAAAAAAATCCTTCAAGTCCCAGGTAATGTTACATATAAGAGTCTACCTCTGCCTTTGTGGATGCATCTGATAACTGTTCTGGTGAGATTTCTACTCTGTCAGGCTGTTTGTCTGATCGCCTCAGCATTATTACAGCAGATATATGTGATACTCTGTTCTCATCAATCTGAAAGAAAATGTATATCCACATGTAAAGTAAAATAAATCTTTTAGTATAAAAAGGAAACTTTGACAAATGAGATTTGATTTTTTGCTATGAAAACAAAGAAAACGTTATCATATTATACTTTATACATTCAGTCATTAATATCCAATATCAACCAATTAAAGGTTTCTGATAGAGTTAATGATGTTTAGGCTACTTTATGCAGATGTCATCTACACATTGTATATGACTAAGAATTTGTTGTCATGAACTTTTTGTTACATCTTAGAAAACTTGCATTTTCTCAAGTGGAATCTTCAAAACAGATTAAATAATAGTTTACAAATCTCACTGAGAGATATTTAATTACATAATCTTCATTAAAATGTCTATAGCAAACTGAAATAAAAGGTGATTTGTTGTCATTTTTAGAGGGCATTTTGGTTTTTTAGAGGACGTTTTGGCGGTCCTCGAGCTCCTTAAAAGCGTCTTCAACCGACAACAAGCGTCTTCAAGTGACAATAAGCATCGCCAGACAAAATCTTTTAAAATATTGAATAAAGTAAGCGACATCAGAAGATATGTTGTTAATATGACTATAATACACCTCTGTACCAAATTTCAATTTGATATTTAATAAAATGACTGAGTTATGATGAATTGAATTTTTACGATTGCGGCGTGGCACATGTGTGTATCGCATGTAAAGTGAAGAAAGCGTCGCCAGATAATATTGTTAAAATTACTCGCTAAAGTAAGCGACATCAGAGGATATGTTATTAGTTAGACTTTTATTGATATATATTCCAAGTTTCAGTTCGATATTTGAAAAAATGATCGAGTTATGATTAATTTATTATTACGATCGGCGGCGTGGCATACGTGTGTGAATAGAACTCAACATATGAAGAAGCGTCTTCAGAACATATCTCTAAAATTAATCGATTAAGTAAGCGACATCAGAAGATATGTTATTCATATAACTATGATACACCTTTATACCAAATTTCACTTAGATATATGAAAAAAATACCGAGTTATCGTGAATTTATTATTTTACTATCGTCGGCTTGGCACACGTGTGTTAATAAAACTGTACAGATCAAGAAGCGTCTTCAGACTTTACCTCTTAAAATAATTGATAAAGTAAGCGACATCATGAGATATGTTATTCTTATGACTATGATACAACTATATACCAAATTTTAATTTGATTTGTTGAAAAATGATTGAGTTATCGTGAATTTAATTCATACGATGTACAGATATTAAGCTATACGCCGTGCCACATTTGTGTACGTAGGGTAGGGCTTCGCATAGGCAGAGACGTGTATGTGTTATACGTCTCTGGCATAGGTGAACACAGTTAGAATATATTGCTATATAAACATTGATACACCTTTAATCAGCTGTGTCAAGAAACGTATAAGTTGGTTCGACAGAATGCCAGGGTTTGGCGATGACGCGAGGAACATTGCTATTGCAGAGTATTTAGGATTGTTTTTGGTGTCCTATCTATACCTGTTTTCACAAATATTTATATAATGAGTAAATAGAAAGTTTATTGGAAATATGGCCTTTTCAATCTAAAGGCAAGTGTTTTTCTTTCAAATTAAATATATTAAATGAGTGCTAATGGGCAGTAAAAGTAAATAAATTTGAATCAATAATAGCTTGCTAAGATGTAATACATCGTGTCTTTTCCATTACGTCCCGGTCATTCACATAATTGTGGCAGCAGCCGTATTTAAAAGAAGCTTGCCAACGAGTAGTTAAAATTTTACAACATCTATTTCTGAAAGAGTGTGTGCTGGTTTTGAGAATTTATTAGGTGTTTGTATATGGAGATAAATGTCCTGTTACCTTATGTATAATGCTGATTTGTATGCCTTTTTTAACTACTATATTTATAACTGTCACTGTAGGAATACATGTACATACTATTTTCATGTTGTAAAGTGCCTTAATAGAGTATTTGGGGAATAATCAAACCAATGGTTTTTACAACCTCATGCAGACTTATCCGGCAATGATGTTTTTGGATGGTTATAGATAAGGACTCAGAAACTGGTCACCCTATATATGCTACATATTCCTATCTGTCAAAGTATTCTAAATAATAATATTTATTCGGTAAAAGCAAGATACAGGTACAAATATCACATAAGATCACAGATTTCAATTGCATAATAATCACAGATTTATCACAGTATTTAGCTTATCACATCAAAGTTAATATCACAAATTTTGGAGCACTATAATTACAATGTATCTGTTTGACTAAGCTTTAACCTAGGATATCCCATGAAAGCTGGGTGGCAGCTTATTTCCAATGGGGTCCTCTAGTATAGATCTTAATTACTTAGATAACAAAAGGTCCTAAGGATTTGACCTTATAATATGAATATAAGATGGTATAATTTCTCGTAATAATATATATATGAATAGAATAAGTTGTAATTGGTCAAATATGATGATGATATATTATTTCATCAAAATGAGATGTTATTTTATTTGACGGTATAAGATGGAGTTGTCATTAGCAAATATGATTTCCTTCTGATNATATTATTTCATCAAAATGAGATGTTATTTTATTTGACGGTATAAGATGGAGTTGTCATTAGCAAATATGATTCCCTTCTGATAATATATATATGTGGGGCTTATGCATGATGTTGTTTCCACTTGTAATATTAAAATATCAGTTATATGTATCACTGTACATATCATAAAGCAAGATGATGTCATTCTTGCAGTTATTAAGTAACAATATAAGATATACATTTATACTGTGGTACTTGTGTGTAGAACAGACAACAGGTGGTTGGACAGTCCCTACCAACCTATTATCTGTCTAACAAATTATAGCAATTTTGGGTATAATACATATATAAAAATGACTTTTAATAAAATAAAGATTGAGGATGATGGTAATAAAATGTTCCATAACATTTATAAAAATACATATTATATTGGTACTTTAGTTAAAAACTTTGGTAATACATCATGTATTTTTCAGAAGAAGTTTCGAGTCATCCACTGGGATAGAATAAAAATTATGTTGGGGCCAGATCTACAGGGAACTCCAGTTTCACTACAATGAATCAAACGCAATATTTTTGACATCCACAATTCATCATTATACCATTGAGTGTGGGTTATGACTTTGGTCCTGAGACCAGAATTATACATTTTGACAGACAGACTGGTACATCTATATGTCAAAATGGCTGTCATGTGTCAGGGCTAGGGGTACTCCTAGTCCAACAGTGTTAGAGGTTTACACGGCGAGATACTTTTGACAGGCGCCGTGTAACAGTCGGCCAAATTATATCCGACAGAAAAAAGGCCGACCAGCGGCCTCTTATGCTACCTAACACTGTTTAAGTAGGGAAATTAAACCTGTAATATTGCATCTTATTTTCAGACCCGGAGATCTGCCAACGAGTATTTCTCAGATTCGTCCTGTATCTTACCTCTCCAATTAAAAGACCCATGACTTCCTCCCGTTCTGTCGATAAAGCATGTGTGAGACAAACCATATAAGCATCAGCTTCCAAATGAACGCAATTGATAGCCATTTTCTAAATATTTTGCTGAAATTTTTGTGCGCTGACTGAAACCGGAAATGTGCGTTTTTTTATTTCACACGCAGAAGAGTGCTTGTTACAGAAATTACCAAGAGTTGCCTCCCCTATGCCTTGTGGATAATTATGTCTGACGAAATGATATGAAATCCAATTCAAGGGCTAATGTATCCTACAACCCGACCGTGTATAAAAAGCTTAAACTTAGACTGTGTTTAAAGGACAATACGTGAGATCATTTCAATAGAGCTGTTCAAAAAACAAATGTAGTGCATACGGTAGACCGACCAACGTTAACGTGCGTATTGTAAAAAAAGCTAAAACTGCGGTCTCTTCGGGTGATCACTAACTTGAAATCGAACACCAGAGAATTACTCTCCATCAAATGTGATACGTGAGGTTTCAACCTTAAAAAAGAGAATATTTTGATAGTAATATTCTATTATAAAAAAGATTCATTGAACTAAACAGACATTTAACGGGAAAATTAATCGGTTTTGTTATTTAACATAAAATTATATCATGCATTTGAAAAAAAACCACCCCAGATATTTGTCTAATGCCGGTTCATGACAGGAATTTGAATAATCGATCAGTTATCACCCAGGTCGTGTTCGTATAACAATAGAAGAAACCGTTACAAAAAATAAATATCCATGTTAAAATATCCCATCCCATATATAGTTCTAAGTAAAAAACTAGAAGATTAATGGGCCGTTTTCGTTTAAACGATCAAACCGGTCGGACCACAGTTGTTCGTTTATTAAATAAAGTCGGACCTAGTAATCTGATGCTGCTTTCAGACGAGCCTTGCAAGGCCTGCATAAACATTTGCAGGTCTGCCAGGATTTATACCCGAAATTGTTACATTTATAAACGGTCAAACCGGTTGTTCCGCATAAACGAACAGGCCCCAGGACTTTTCCGGAGCAAAATGTGTAATATACTACTACTCCTAGTCCTATACTCAACAATCGACACAAGCTTATTGTAGACCCGTACAACCCCGACTTTTCTATGATGTCCATGGAATTATCAACAATGATAAAAGGAACTTGCATGATTCCTGTCAGTAGCACCGCAAATATGAATGTTGTAGTTGCTAGAGTATGTTGGTTGATTTGTGCCATTTCGTTGTTTCGTCTTTTTGCCCCAAAATCTCGTTCGTTCTGAAAAGACGAGAATTCACATGCGAAACCTTAGTTCTCGTCTTTTCGTGTTTTCGGGGCAAACATAACGACCGAGATATAAGCAACTTATATCAAATCTCTTCTTTTCTACCGAATAGACAAAACGATGATGGTATACGAATCTCCAGGACACACGTGTCTGTGAGGTTTGAGTTATGTAATGAGAAGAATTTCTTAGGGCATGTACAAGGTAAAAGGGGTGTGCACGGTGTACATTGTAACATCGTATTGTCTCCGATAAAAGCAAGTCGGAGTGAAATTAGCCGCTGCTTCCGATATTTTCTCAGGGTTAAAATAGGAAAACTATTTATTTTTGAGCATATTAAACTGCAGATAAAATTATCATGGAATGATTTGCTATAAGTTTAGCCGTTTGACTGACTGAAAATAAAATCGCTAGAAATTGCGAACAATTTATTCCTTTACCAGTCATAAGCGGCTAAAATCGATGATTTGCCAAAAATGAGTTGATCCGAAAGGAGAACAAAAATCGGCTTTTATTTCTTTTAATGAAACTTTCAATAAAATACAGTAGTCTAATCCAATTCACGAAAACTAGGCTATTATGATTAAAAACTGGTTTTGATTAAAATTTCCCCACGGGTTCCCAGTTGCTGTAAACGATTAGGCCAAACAAAATAATATTTGGTATTTCCGGTAACCCTACCTACCCTAATTTTTGTTGTGCCTTCCCGAAACATTTTAGGGCAAATTTTAAAGAAGCACTGTTTAAGTCAAGATCACTCTCCTATATAAACCGTATACAATTATTTGTCAAAATAAAATGTGTTGCCTACCTACCTTCCCTATTTTTTCCAATATATTACAGGAAACATATATTTTGTTGTCTGGCTTTATATATCATTGATGAATCCAAACACAAGAACTGTCAATAGATTTAATGAGAAAATGAAAAGAAATAAGATTGAATCATTATACTGATGCAAACATCCAGCAGGCCTGTTACACTGGCTAATGATGAAATCATACTTATTATTTTGTTCAAAACTACTGATTCCCAGTGTGACGTAATGTGATGTCACTACATGTACTACACTTTACTTACTTTTGTGTTATGAGTAAATTGCACGTGACGTTATTGTAATATTTCCCCGATAAAGATTTGCCCATTTCCAATCCCCTTGTTTTGGTTACATTGAGTTTGAATTAAGGCTTTGTTCAATCCTTGTTATCCTCTCCCTTTTCTTTCATAATTTGTTTCTCATATTGATCTCGGATGAACATAATTTAGAATCAATAATCACTCTTCGGGTATCCTCTGTTTTCAACACACGTTGTAATGGTATTAATATACTATCATTAACTAAATTTCTTACTAAATATCAGTGTTATGGACGCTTCTTTAATAATTTGTGATATTAAAAAATACATTCGCAACCGGATACAAAAACTCCTAATATTGATAATACATCACTTAAAAACAAGAGATGATTATATTTATTATCTTTAAAATTCAATGAAGTGAAATGTCACAATTGAAAACAAATGTATAAGTCGCATCTATAAGAAATATAACATTTATATTAACCTATGTATATAAAGTAAACCAAACGGGTAAAAGAGGAATGTTGCCTTCTTCAAAGAGAAAGGTACTTGACAATATGTATTTTCCTGCCCTTGCACGCAACCCAGAGATGTCCTTCGGCGTCTACCCCCATTCCAAGAGGATGTTCCATGCCATGGGATGCGTCCAGCAGACAGCGAAGGCCCTTGCCGGCAATTGGTAGGATATATACTTTGTTGGCGTCACGTGACGATACAATCAGCGACCCGTGTGCGTCAGATGATAGACAGGACGGGAGGAAGTCTTCCTCCCTATCGAAGCTCTGCCCTGTCCAAGTGTAAAGGTGAGTACCCTTTGTGTCTACGCACACGACCTTGGACGCGCCATCTCGGACGAACATCTTTCCATTGCTGATGCTCGACACACTGTAGGGTTCGGTAAACAGCGGAGTGTCGTCCGCGCGCGTGTCGAAGTATTTCAAAACTTCTCCGTTGATACTGATTGTAACCAACCGTGCTGGTCCCTTTGTACCCACGAGTGGCCGGATACAAACAAGGGTATTTCCATCCATCATGACACAAATACCGTATGGCTGATACCCAGGGAAGTGTCCAGCCACACTTAACTCCCCGTTGGAAGATATCGCGTGGATATGAGCACTGCGATCCACGGTGAGCAGCATCCTGCTTTTGCCATTGATAACAAAATCCCATATCCTATGGCCAAAGTCTTGCGTCATCGTTAGACGATTCCCCTTCTTGTCGATAAGAGTAAGATATGTATCCCCATATGAATTCACCCAGGCCCTGTCACCTGATATAGGCCAAATTTTGGAAATTTCGCCAAGTTTCCTGGAGGTTTTAAAAGATGCGATGATATGTGCTTGCCCGTAATAAGGCACCCTGCCGAACGATTTCTGTTTGACTTCCCCTTTGTTGTGTACTTGATCTTTGAACAAATAGTCGTAGTTGATTCTATTCAGATGGACTTTTCCATTGTCAGTTATAACCACTGATGGGTCAATTTCCTTAGGTTTTCGTGATTTTCGTTTTTTTCCGAAAACTGTATCATACTGTAGGTCACCTAAGTTCGTCTTGCCATACTTTGTTATGTTTGGCTGTTTATCGTGCGACTTTTCAACCGGCGGATAATTAGTGTCGAATGTTCCTGACGGTGGCGGAGGCATTGTGAATCTTCGTGCCATGGCGGTAGTAATAGTAATACCCTGATGAAAATGTCAGCTGAGGATTGTCACCTAAATAAAATAAAAATATGAGATGATTTTTTTGTTGTTGATATTTAGCAAATGACAAGAGACTTGAAGTAAATTATATCTGGCTTGATTATGCTTTTTTATGCATTGGCTAATGTGTGAAAAATGAATTGCGATTCAGTGGAAACTGATTTTCTGTTGCATTTAATAACCGTAAATATGCAATTAAAGACACAAAGATAAAATTAAACTTAAAAATATAATTTTATATTAAACTTTAAAATACAATTTTATATACGTTTCTATTTATAGCATTATTTCTAAACCGCGTCTGGGGGCCTCACCAAGATTGAACTGATATCCGGTGCATACATTAGCGTGGTACTGGGTGCTGTTATACAAATGCGTGGGTATGGAAGTCGTAATATAAACCACTGACTTGATCATTACATTTGATCAAAAGAGTCGATAATATATATTAAGGATTTGAAATATGGCTCGTACTGACAAAGTGCTTCCACAAGGAATCTTTGATAAACTGAAATAAGTAAAAATGATGTATCACACTGACATTAGAATCAACCATTTCGGTTTTCTGTAATCATATCTCTGATGTCACATTTATTGATGTTAATGTGTCGTCACATTTACAACGCAGATGCATCGATCAATGAAAACTGCTCTATCTTATATCATACGACGTAATGCCGCTGAAAGAACGTAAGAAACAGAGTTTCAGTGCCGTATGCGTAGCATAACAAGTGAGTTATGTAATAGAAATAATTCTCCACGTGTTTCACTAACCAATTATTTCACAGATTTTAACTTACCACACTTAACCATTACTTTCCGTCCAGTAATCCATTAATATTTGGCTTAATAACGATCCCTAAAAAGCAATAAACTAAACGCATCGTTCATGTTCAAGTATCGATCATTAGATTGAAAATTGTTAATGTATGGAATGACCGAAGGGCAATATAAGGATTTTCTTGTATGTGTAAGACCATGTTAGTGTATGTGTAAGACCATGCTATTGTATGTGTAAGACCATGTTATTGTATGTGTAAGACCATGTTATTGTATGTGTAAGACCATGTTATTGTATGTATAAGACCACGTTATTTGCGGTTATATGATGTCCTATTTATTTACCCTGAGCCTTGTTTAAGGATCCCTGCCCCAGTACACTGTGGTTTTGCCTATATACAGTAACCTCCCTTTAAGGACTCCTGTCCCACTACACTGATTTTTCCTACTTTCAGTAATTACCTCCCTTTAAGTATCCTTGTCCCACTACACTTTGGTTTTCGCTATACACAGTAACCTCCCTTTAAGGATCCCTGTCCCACTACGCTGTGGTTTTTCTACATTCGGTAAACTCCCTTTAGGATCCCTGTCCCACTGCACTGTGGTTTTCCCTATATACAGTAACCTCCCTTTAAGGACTCCTGTCCCACTACACTGATTTTTCCTACTTTCAGTAATTACCTCCCTTTAAGTATCCCTGTCCCACTACACTTTGGTTTTCGCTATATACAGTAACCTCCCTTTAAGGATCCCTGCCCTAGTACACTGTGGTTTTGCCTATATACAGTAACCTCCCTTTAAGGATCCCTGCCCCACTACACTGTGGTTTTCGCTATATACAGTAACCTCCCTTTAAAGATCCCTGCCCCAGTACACTGTGGTTTTCCCTATATACAGTAACCTCCATTTAGGGACCCCTGTCCCACTACACTGAATTTTCCTACTTTCAGTAATTACCTCCCTTTAAGTATACCTATCCCACTACACTGTGGTTTCCCCTATATACAGTTACCTCCCTTTAAGGATCCCTGTCCAACTACACTGTGGGTTTGCCTATATACAGTAACCTCCCTTTAAGGATCCCTGTCCCACTGCACTCTGGTATCCCCTATATACAGTTACCTCCCCTAACTTCCGCTTAGATTAACTGTAGCAATTTTAGTTCGTACACTTTCGTTGTCAAGGTAGCTCAATCGGTTTCAGCGACGGAATAACAATATGAAGTTCAGGGTTCGAATCTCTGTCTTGCCCCGTGGACTATTTTACACCCGGGTTATTTTTTATTTATTTCTTCTCCATTATGTTTTTATAAAAGCATACTTTCCTTTTCAAAAAAGATTTATCAAAGCTATAGTCATGCCGTAAAATTTAGTTTCGAAGGCATAGCCATAAAAATGAAATATAGATATATATCTTATCAAAATAGAGGTACACTTGTACAGATATCTTTAATATAACATACATCTTTAAATAGAATAAATATCTCTCAAACAGAAATACAGATATCTCTAAAAAATTAGATATACTTGAATATAATATTGTTATCTTCACATACGAATTATTCTAAATTAAGATCTAACTCTAAAACTTAAGGGATACCATTCTTAGGTGTTTCCTGTTTTGCTGGCTTGTAATTTTTCTATTACAAAAACATGATATGGAAAATTACCTTATAATGTAGATAACATATCATTCGATAACGTATACGTATAACACATGGTGTTTTAAGGCCTCCGTATTTTATGGACATGAAGTGCGGACGACCGCTTACAATCTACCATTATGAAGGAACCATAGCTATGCCGTATACATGTAAGAGGAACACAGAAGGGGGCACTTTGGTTGAGTTATCTTGTTTTCAGCAGCGCTAGAATGAAAATGTTTTTCCTGCAGTATTTATGATACATTTCATATTTATTTTACTTTTAGGGAATACAATGTACTCAAATACATGTATAAGCCATTCCAGAAGTCTTCCTAATCAGGAAAATATCACTGATACATGAAAGCAGTTTAAGTACCGGCCAATATCTGATAGATGACATCAGTGGTAAAGCAGCATTTGTAATTTCAAATTTTACTTTAACTGTGTAACAACGAAATTTAGTGACCAGTAGAGTACATTGAATTATGGAATAATAAACTGACTCATGTTTTTTCATTTGTGTTCGAATGCCCTTTCATCAGCTAGGTAGATTGTTTACGTTCAAACAAGCATTGGTTTTGTCTTACACAATGTATATGAGGTGATCAGCTCCGTCTACGTTGGATCACAACAGCAGAGCAGATTCTAGCATTTCTATCTTTTATACATAAATAATACAAACATAACAAATACGATATCAGGAAACAACTGTTTAAAGTAAGACGACGTAGAAAGCAAAATACATTGCATGTTTACTGCACCATGAGGCATTTCTTCCAGTCGAATTACGTCATCTGTGATACTAAAAACCCAATAAATGACAATCAATGTCTAAAGCATCTCGAAATGTATTGAAAAAACAGCAAAAGGAGAAATTGAGTTAAAAATTAGTCCTCTCCTACACACATGTCCAAAGCATACACGATTATATACCTAAACCGCGGTTCTCCCGTTTTGTCCCCCCTATGAGTAAAACAAAACAATCCAATCTCACAATAGATTTAAAGGTACACACTGTGTCGTGACAGAGCACAATTGACGTATTATTTAACAATGGGCATACTCTATTAACTGTTTTAAATCAGTCATGAGATATATCATTGAATTTCAATCACCTAGTATAATTTGCTTCTGACTAGACACAAAGTGTATACATTTTTTTTATCACGTGCTAATGCTTAATAGTGTAATGCATACGTGCATTAATAGATGCAAATGAACTGAAAGCATTTAATGACTCGCTGCTGTAAAACTATTCCGACGCTAAAGTGGCAATTCTAATTTTTAGTACCACCTACTTTAACAACAAAAACCCAGAACATTTTTGATAACAGACGAGTTTCATTGTTTGTTTCACGTTTAAATTGCACCGTGTATTTGATATTAGATCAGATCGATGAGGATACATTCATGACAGTTCGCCTTTTTCTCACCAAACACAACTAAACTTGGTACCAACTTAACATATGAAAACGAAAGGCGTGCTTCCAAATAAAACTAAATTTTAGACATGATTCAAATGAATATATATAGAAGAATGAATAATTCCACCTTTACTGCTATTTATGCAGTTCGGAGTTAAATAACAATTAATTCCAGATGCAGTATTCCAGCATGGATGTAATATAATATAGTATTAACTAATGAGGAAAAAACAACAAAAATGAAAATAAACTCAAAAAGAGTATTATTATCTAATACTCTTGTGTGGTGGAGACAGGGAATCTCAAACCGAGGGTACAGTGTAACACTCGAGACTTGTGCTAAACATAAACATCTTGGTGGTTGTGTGTCCGTTGTCTTCACCTCACTACAGTGAATGCCTATTTTCTCCCACACTTTCTTACTGTAAACAAATGTTGTAATGGTGATATCAGTGCACTGTGACATCATCAAGGGCGCATAAAATGTTGGAACAAATGATGATGATTACTTTTCATAATATGATGACACGACGGTGACATCTTCAGAATTATAACGCGTTCGAACTGTTTTTTATTATGTTGGCAAAACATATATTTGCAGTAAAAACAGGAAAACACACATAAATTGATGGATATAGACTAGGAAAAAATACTAGCACAAACGACAGACATCTTCGACTCACATTTATATACCCCAAGTGACGAAAAAGTGTTCCGGAAATCTTATTAGGCTCCAATCATACTGTATCAGTGCAGGTATGATCCAGGTATGATCCAGGAAATAAATACAGGATACAAATCGAGTCATTAAAACGGTTTATATACTTTCTGGCATATGACATTATGTTTGATAACTGTGACCTTAAAACTGAATACAGTCATGCGTATTATGCATTGTGGTTTTATGTGAAAACATAGCTATGACCTCCAGTTGCATTCACAAGAGATGTCTAAAATGATCAAAATAAGATTTTACTCCCTCAAATAACGTCTGTTCCACTTTATTTGAGGCAAGTGGAGAAGCCTCAAAATGACACTGAATTAGCCAAGTCATTTATCTTGTCCTAGATCCCACCTTTTTTTTCTTTTCTGACATAACTTTGTTTAAGTGTTTGTCTGGTGGCGCAGTGGATAACGCTATCGTCTTTCACAAAGGCGGCTGGGGTTCGTTTCCCCGATCGGACATGAAAAGGTTCGGATTCGTTTGTCCGACCACGTGAGTGTTTTTCATGTACTCAGGGTTCCTCCCACATTAAGACCCCAGCCCGCTAACAATCGGGCTAACAAGAGTGATTGCTATAGGTTGTAACAACCATTTGTCATAATTGTGTAAAATTAATAAATGTATATTTTTTACATCTAGGCATGCAATTTTTGTGCAAGTCTAAGTTTTCTTAAGGATAAAAGATTCAAAGACATATCTGACCAACTGAAAAAGGTTTTTTTTGCATTAGTTGAATACATCATAAGACAACGGTTCGTGTTCTGATAAATAATGTCGTTTTGCGACACACACGGTAATGCAATAATATATTTTAAAACTACTAAAATTTCGTTATTGGCCACAAAACTTGTAGCGTTCAATTCAGGAGTTCGGAGGCTAAAACAATGTGTCCATGTTAGTGGAGTACATGTGTTAGCACCATGACTCATTTTCGAACTTAAGGTAAGATCATATTATAGATTGAATACGACAAAAAAAAGCATTAATTGGAAGTGATGTTGGTAACGAGTAAAGGGAATGATGTACATGCGTTTTGCAATTCATTTGATCTCACTAATTCCTTATCGGACTTCATCGAATATGTATGTAACTGGTTTGCGTTAATTTATATTTTGAGTTACAGTTATCATTGATCTATATATAGGTATTCACTACCATTTTTGAGATTTTTGAGTGTCTTGTGTTGTGTCTACTATGTCGTTAATTTGATTATACAGTTATACATGTACATGTATTACTGAATTACTTAGCTGTGTATACGTTTGTATGTACCGGGTCCGTGATTGTATTGTACAAGTTCTTTACTTACTATTATATACATTAAAATCAAAATT